GCAGGTCTCCAGATTCAAACCCTTCAGCAAACCCAGACACAGAAGGCAAATATGCCATTTTGTCACAAAATAACGCCGCACGTTTTAAGTTGATATGGCCACAGCACCTCCAATTTAAACTGTACTGAATCTGTATGCAAACCGCCAACGAAGCCAAGCAGAGATGAGCTCCAGGCAGATTCCCCCCGGCCCTCGAGCCCATAGGGAGAGGTCTCCATGCATGAGGCTGGAGGCGAGGAACACTGCAACTGGAAACAACCGCATTCAATCGATTTCCGATGGGTTTCAGAAACGGGCATCTCGAGGCGACGGCTCTTCATCCTTTTACCAGACATCAGTTTTACTTTTACCAGCAGCTCTTCTTTTATGGAATTTATTACTGTGGGAGAGTCAGGAAGATTATTTTCCCTTCAGAAGAAACTGGAGCCGGGAAGCGGTACATCTGGCTCCGCTGTCCTGCCCGGCCCGGAAGTAGGAGCGCGTTAGCAGAGCTGTGGTAAAGCAGGTGGTGCAGTAAGGGGTCCGGCACGTGGGCCGAGGCCAAGAGCCGAAATGACTGAAACTCCGCGGCAACGCTCACCTTGATATCGCATATCGCATTCCTCCCGCTTTTCAAATGATACTTCTCCAAGTTCGGAACCAAGATTTGTGTTTGGATTTTTAATGGATTCTCCAGGGAGTCTGCAGTATCAGCCCGCCAGAGTCCCAGGTATAACGTTTCCGAGACCTCCTACAGAGAAAGAGCTGTACAAGCCTGTGAGGCTTTTCTTTAAAAAAAAAAGACAACAGATTCTTGCCAGCACTTTGGGAAGACGAATGAGAAAAAGTGGTCAAGAGGAAAAAAAAACTCACAATGTTTCCATTTAGCGGTGGTAAGGCTTCCAGTTATTGTGCTGATGTGTTTACTGAATGCCTGCACAGTGATTAGTATGTCTGGAGTTTTATTGCACCATACAAATGAAGCCTCAAATATGGGACATGCATACACAGGCTGCATACCTATGATAAAGAGTTATACAGTATATTAACACTAAATAACACCTTGACACCAAATAACTCAAAATGAAAGAACGGCACAGAGCTCAAATAGCTGAGAACATTCAACTGTCAGAACTGGGTATCCGTGACAAAAACGAGGCATGCTCGCACCAGTAACAGTCCAATAACAATGAACCCCTCACTACAGCAGAATCTCTCCCGTCAGCTCAAGTCAATTTCACAGCAGGATCAAACGGGATGAGCTTTGCCACAACACTCATGCACAGTCCATTTCCTTATTACTGGACACCAGAGGCAGTCTGCTTCACTACATTTTTTGGTGCTCCCAACATGGTTTCTGATTTCATGTAGATGGACCCTTCCTTCAAGAAAAGTGGAAACAGATTTTTTCCACTGATTGAATCGCACAGCTGTAGTGGTCTTTGGGTACCTGTTGTCGGATATGGACAAGGAAGGTACTTCAAGAATAAGAGAAAAGGGCTGGACAGAGGGTCATTTGTAGTCATTAGCTTCCCAATTCAAGTACCTGAGAGACACAATGCATTTATATTGGGTTCAATACCTATTATTCCAGAGAACTCGGTCCTATTTTCTCCCTAATAAAACAGATTAAGTATCCATTTGAAAAATGCTAGTTTATATTTTCCCCCCACTTGCTGCACTTCAGTATCATTTTCCACAATGTTCCAGAGAAAGCGGCATATACCGAATGCATGACATTCCACAGAAATGTGAACCTTAAGGAAAAAGGCTAAGTAGAGGAAATATGGAATCCTTGGAAATCAATGTACAGACCGGGCTATCCCACTGGACATGTTGTAACCCAATATTCACTCCAAGACAAAAGGGAACCCAGAAAACAGTAAGCAGATAAGGGTGTTTCACAATCCTGTAACCACAAGCTATAAACACACACTGAGGATAATATCTACTGCATTCCTAAAAGTAACAACAATGAAACCTAAATTACTAACTACTTATTCACCTTTTCCTGTTTATCATGTGCTCTTAACGATGTAACGTGGAAGAGAATGGTACCTGTGCAGGCTCAGCCTGGCTGGCCCTCGTGCACTGAAGACTAACATCAATATTCAATACGGACCAATACTTAGGCTGTCAGAGAATCTCCCCACAGCCTGCATGTTTTCCCCTGCTGTCGGGTTTCGCTCGAGTCTGACGGGCAGATGTAATGAGCATGTGGCATAGGAGTGAGGAATGGACACGAGTGGTCACAAACGAGAGCATCTTTTCAGTCCTGGTTTTTACTTCTTACTTCGGTCGAACGACTTGTCCATTCCACCTGACAAATCACCCTTCAGAAATAGTTCAAAGATTGTATAGAAAAAAAAGTACAGAAAAAAGAACACGGCATCATTCATGCTGGAGCGACACAACCAAGCAGCAAGGTCTCTGAGCCCGTAACCTGTCCCTAACCAGTGTACAACAAATAACAGCGACGCACAAACCAGCAGGCCACTCCACGTGGAAAATAACAGCCCCAAACTGCCCCTGTGAATTTCTTTTTACAGAAAGAGAAACCTTACTACTGTAAATCCTTACTCTGCGACAAAGTTCTATTTGAACAGATATTGGCAGAAATGAGGCAAATGTTACAGGCAATAGCAGCAGATAACGCAGGCACCGAGAGCTGAACCTCTTGGACTTGCGGAGGTTACTAGGGGGCTCCGAGTAAGTATTACAGGTCCTTAAAGGCACCGACGTCCCCAGCCCAGGGGCTCAAGCGGGACCTACAGGGGCCACATTTAAAAGGGGGAGCAGGAGGCCGAGTCTGCCCTGCCGCGCCCAGCTGCTGGGAGCCGAACCCCGGGGTGGTTCCAGGAAACAGCTGGACGAGGTGGGAAGACCACTGAGCCACTCGCAGCCAAGCGGGAGAGGAGGGCAGGGGGGGCCTGGTCTCGTCTGCCGCCTTTGACTATACTCCGAGGGGATTTCAACGTGGAAGAGTCTCGGACAGCAGCGTCGGTGTGGTCTGAATCACTCCGTAGTGTCGCGTGCGCGCTGTCGGCCACTCCTTTCGCTTGGCTGGACTAATTAGAGTCATTACTTGGCAGGGGAACCACTTTTGGCTCACTAATCGTTACCGCCTAAAGTGTGCAATAGTGCAATACAACGACTAGAACACGTGGTGTGTGTAAGGAGAGGCAAGTGGTATATTTTGAATGCATTTCATGAAACCCATAAAACATATTTTAGACAACACAAGCCTAAGGGTTTTTGCTCATGCCAAGGATATTTACAGCCTGCACATGCCATTTATTAATGAACACAAAACTATGACTAATTATGCAAAATATCTTAAATCTACGTTTAAACGATGAGAAAAGGTTATTCTACTAAGACTATTTACCAGACTTTTTTAATGGGTAATAGTCCTACCCATTTAATTGGCATCAAAAGGTGGGACTTTTTTTTTGTGCTGCCCAGGTGTATCAAAGCATATGCCCGCATTATTGAGGAAGTCCAGGCATTACCAGGCTCACAAGAGAGTCTAGATTGAAAGCTATTTTTCTTTTTGCAGTGTTACAAATGTCCCCCGCAGATAAAAACGACGTTGCTTCCAAGCTCTGGGACGCGAAAGCAAACAGCACACGATATCAATAAAGCTCTGTGCAATTTGGACTGAAGTGTCTGGCATAAATTCTGTGTTTATCTTCATGTGGTCTGTTCAGACTGCTTCTGTAAACACCCGTGCTGCAAACCGAAGGACTCGCCAGCTCTTTCATGTTTAGCCTCTTCTGATTAAAGTACACCCTTCACATTTGTGGTCTAATTACAGAAGTCTATTTTAACGAGACAAACAGCTCAGCGCAGTTTACTCTAAACCCCAGGAGCTTTAACAAGGTACTGCAAAGGTAATCCTCCACTTGATACTGCTGTCTCTGGATTGCCACTCGACTTCAGCAAGGTAAAACACCGCCCAGCAGGGCTGAACAATGTGTTCAGTCACGACGTTAATCATGGGTGCCGTACGTTTAAATGGTCAATTAACACGTAGGAGACGGTGGAGCATTATCCTGCACCTTCTTGATGAGCGTTCAGCTTATGGTGGGGCAGAGGTCTCTGGGACAAGGCGGCGCGATAATTGCCTGTCGGTGATTAATGCGCTGCCTCTGCTAGGATGCGTCATAGCGCTCGGATGATTGTGTAGCGATCGCCATATAGGCACTCGATCCGGCCCGGCTAGCTGCGAAGATCACGGGGCTACAACAGGTTGGGTTTGAAACCCGGCAGGAAAACCATCCTACAATAACGTCCTGTGCCGGCAGCAAAGCCGAAATGCAAAGCCTCCGTTAGGGACTTTCTGCCGCGGGGCGCACCGTAGAATTACTGTACGTGGCTCGCACGCCTGGCTGGGAAGTTTCAAAAAGCACAGGAAAATAAAGGTCAAGGGCTTCCGCAAAACACGTGCTGCCTTCTGCAGCTCTGGAGAAGGCTTCTCACGCCCGTCCCCCTCCGGGTGTGGAGCAAAAGCCCCCTCTCTCCTGCGGTCTTGTCTAACCCGCGGCGCTGCAGGCTGGCTCGCCGTCACCCGAGCTGCGCGCCTCGGCGGTGCGGTGCGGTGCCGCGTCTGTCTGGGTTCAGCGCAACTGCGTGGGCTGACAAAACGTTACGACAACAAGAGCACTGCTGTTATGAAACTTCCCTTTGACGTGGTCCTATTCCTAGCAGTTAAATACTGCACGTTCGTTTCCATACAAACAAACTTATTAGTGGGCGGACGCTGGTTGTTATTATTAGGCTCTTACCTAATAAATAAAATAAAAAAAACCTGCGGAGTAGCCTACAACCTATGTTTGTCTTCAGCAGACAATTTCTTTTTTCAGTCAATCTGGAAAACAATATGCAACATGAAATTCCCTTCGCTGCGGCAGCTCCGTTCAGATCTTTCCCACCCCCCGTCCGTTTCTGAAATAACGGGATAGGTCTTTATTTTGTTCAACAACATGGTGACCCTGTAAACGCTTGACGGGGTGGCTTACCCAGGTTCACGAAGCTCATCACCATGTCGGCGTCGTTCAAGAACGCGTTGTCCTGCAGGGTGGCCAGAGACGGCCCGTGGGTCGTGAACATCGATTTGTACCGATCCAAAAACCCCTCGACTTCGTTCTTCTCCTCGTTCGACATGGTGTTGTACAAATCCAGCATGAAGAGAGGTGCCGAGTTGTACTTCCCATGTGACAGATGCGGTCTCGGTCGATGGGGTAGTCCCAGGATGGAAAGGATCTCTTTCTGCATTTCCCTCTTCTCGTGAGTCCGCAGCCTCCTCTGGATAAAACTCGAGTGGATCTCGTTGTTGCCATCAAATATGTAATTGCTACCGGTGGCGAGGAAAACGTAAGAAGTGATCCACCACAGCCCCCAAAGAGCAAAAGAGTAGCTTATCATCATAGAGCCAGTTTGTTATTTACACGGTCCTGTCTGACTTTAAAATAGAAGCTTATAAAACAAACAACAACAACAACAACAAAAAAAAAAAGAGTTCGCAACCCTTCCTGACGAGCGAAATGTCCCCCAGGTGCGCGCTTTTCATCCAACGTGATTGACGCTCTGAGAAGTTTTAAAGAAGATGAAGATTTTTTTTTCAAGCCATAGGAAAAAGTTTTCCCGAGCTCAACGTGCTGAAAAAGTGGTCCCGTTACTACTTGTTGCTGAATATATTATCCCCATCAAGTCCGAGACCGGCCAGCTTAAGACGGCAATGAAGCCCCTCGTAAACACAGCATCTGAAGAGAGCCCAACAGGTCTTCATGAAATGTTTGATATTTAAGCTGTGAAGTCCTACACGACAGGTTTCATAGAACCGAGCATTTTCGCTTTCTAGGAGCGGTATTCTAAGCCTCCATATGTCAGCCTTGTTAAAACCGTGTTGTCAGTCGTTGTTTTAGAGACCATTTAAAAGATGCCCATTTAAAAGAGACTCCCACACATTCGGTTTTGAGCGCCTCAATATTTTGTCACTAGCTGCAGGTAGCAAAGCGCCTCTAGTCTCGCTGGACACGCCCAGCAGCCGAGACGCTGTCCAATGAGGAGGAGCTTTCGGGGAAATTTCAATTGCCCTTCAATTCCAAGGGGATCCCGAATTAACGATCATAAAGGGGACAAATGATTGAACCCGGGGAATACAACATCCTAAAGGACGCGCCTACACAAAATAATACTGACCTGCGAGTACACGAGTATGTTTTTTCCAAGGGGTCCGTGTTCCAGGTTTTTACTTCTTAGTTTCTAACAGTGTTTTCTCGTCTGGTTTTTGGGATGACTGGTAAAAAAGCACGCAATCAATGACGTCGAAGACAATGTGATCCACAACACGGACGGGGGGTTAGAAAAATGCATTTGCTGTCTTAGAGAGGTAAAAATGTAATCGCTGGCTGTATTGCCAGTCTTCTGTTACTTAACGCCGGGTTAGGAAGCTGTCTAAAAGTGCTGCTTAGTTTCAGGATTTCTTTCTGTCGACGGGTGACCCCTAGGGGCGAAGTCAGAAACAGCAGACCGTGCTCTTTCAACCCAACCCCAACACAAATATGAACTTTTTTAACGCGATATGTGAATTTCACTACTAGGTCCGCTTAACGTCCGAGAGAGCGATATCTGTTAACGCGTACATATGCAAGGTTCGCTAATTATTTTACTGTATTTAACTATGCAACTCGATCGCACTACAGACGTTGCATATGGATCTGAAATTGCCTATCGAGCAGACTTAAGAGAGCGTGAACAGTTCCTCTACTTATTTCATACATAAGGATTGCTTTCTAAGTAAAAGGCAAATATATGTATATATTCAAGTTGTAAGTTAGGAAGTGATATCAGTAATTGGTCCGACTTCGTGATATGGACTCTGTTAGGTCTGATTTAGATCACACCCGGGAAGTGCTGTCCGTCGTGTAGGGCGAGATATGGGAGCAGATGTATTCCTTCCCAACAGGTGTGCGTGAGATTTCACAAGGGAAGAGCTAACGCAGACCTGTAGTCCTTCCATCCTTTCACACTCCGATGTCCTATACTATCTTTTATTGCAAAAATGTGATACACTTTCCATACGAAATGAGAAAAAAAACCCACTTCACAGTCTTGTAGGAACCAGAACAGTAGAAAAGAACAACATGTGAAACATCCTCCTGCAGTGTTTTTGCATCGTCACACAAGGTCACAAAATTGTTCAAACGGAATTTTTATAACTCATAGCCAACTTCCCTTCATCATTTCAGATTTCATTAAGCCTTTGTATGAGGGACAGACATCTGAATATGTGGCGTGTTTAAACAATCTTGTATTTGAACAGAGAAAGATCCACCATCTGTGTTCTGAAAGATGGTCATACTGTGGATTTGATTTGTTTAATAACAGTTCTAATACTGTAAAATGGCTGCATGTGCTGCTACATTAATTACATTTATTGTTACAGATGTTACAGATATTTTAAGAGACATTTTTTCATAATTTTTCAAAACATTCGACTTTTCTCTTTTTTTGTGCTTCAGATACATGTATTTTTAATGTTGTGCAGTGTTGGCGAGATATCATTTTTTTAATCAATTTTTTTCCTTTTTGTGAAAAAATAGGATCACGCTGTAATTATTACTTGAAGGACAAGATTTCCTGCCTCCACAAAGGCCATATCTTACAAGAAGAACTTCTGAATTTTATCTCATCTCCAATGAAAGGCAACAAAACCTGCAAACAGAAGCATTGTCTCACCCCTATCAGAGAGCACCTCAGATCCAGATACTGATGGTCCCAACACTGCAGAAATAAATCTAGAAAAGGGTCATTTAGCCCTGCTCACAAAATGCAGAATTCAAAGTTTCTATACAGGTGTGACTTTTGGAGGCGTGCTTTTAATTAAAAAAAATAAAAAGATGAAGCTCACATTATGGAGAATATATTTCTTCTTGACATGACTGAGCCTCCTGATGTAGCACAAACAAAAGCTGAAGACAAGAAATCTGTCTTACAAGACCTAATCACATCATACAATACGTGATTTATTGTCTCTTTCATACTAAAACAACAAAGGTTTCAACAGATTTAAAAGACGTAAATCCAGTAAGTTCACTGATTTTCCAGTGCCTAGTCACTAGACAATGCATGTATTTTTCTTGTTTCTAGACATACAATTTATTTTTTAATCGCTGGTTTAACTTTTCAGTTTGAAAATGATAAGGTGAAATTAATACGGAAAACATTAATGTACCTTGTATGTAGACAAGCATATCATCTGTCAAATGCCAAAAAAAAAAACAGATATCAGAATTTTAAAGAAAATGTAAAGGTAAACCTTCTACAGTCTGAGCAAATTTAGAGATATATACAGTATAGAACAAACTGAAAAACTGAAAAGTATCGAATAACTCTTGAGAGAAGTCTGCATCAGATCTGGTTATGGAAACAGATGTCACTGCACACTGTATAAAATAGCAAACACAACAGAGCAGCAGTGGTAAAGGCCCTGATCCAAATTTATTCTGGCAGTGTGAACGCTGGGGATACAGAGAATTAAAATTTAGGCAACCCTTGTTTCAGTTTCAGTGTCCGAGAACATTTACAGTAAGGTGCTGTGCCTGGAAGCAATTTGCTCCGTGCACTAAACCACATTGTGAAGGGATCGTGTCGTGCTTTGTTGGTTTTTATGAAGGTCCTGTCTTTGTCTTTATTAAAGGCTTCTTTTCTCCCCCTCCACCGGAGCCTGATGCAGTAGCAGCCCTTTGTTAAACAAATAAGATCTCAATCATTCTTGGGGGCGAAATGATTGAGATCCGGTTGAAGACGGACAGCTGCAGGATAACCGGGAGCAGCAGCTGTCTGAAAGAAACGCAACATCTGTTTTGTGAGACTTTCAGAATTGCGTGCGCAGGGGTTCGTGGTGCTGTTTTAATGATCGCCGAATGAAACCTTTTTAAAAAACGGGAGATGAAATGGTGAGCCAAGCTTGCTTGGCCTGCCGTTGAGAGCACTGTTGACATTGTAGTGTTTACCCTTTGAAGAGCACAAGAAGCAGGCGGCTCCACTGGGACTACCATGTTGTGTCTGCTCCCTCTCAGATCCAGTGATAGGCAGCTCATTCTTATCATCTTGTGAGACATCTTATCTTGTGTAGAAGCACACAACAGGCTGCATCAAAGCCACAGATGCTATCAAGATGCCTGGCTAATGTCCATCACCTCTCAAGCAGTCTAGACAAGAAATCATGGGAAGGGTAACCCGGTATCTCTGCATTGTGAATTGGAAAAAAAATCTATTGATGCGCAATATAGAAGTGAAAAATTCTGTGCTTATCTCTTCATCTCTACTATTAAGGCACTCTTTTTCAATATACTCTTATTCTTGTTTCCGGGGGTAGTTTCCGAGGATGCATGGCTGCATGCTTTTCAGGTGGAGTAATGAATTGACAAACACTCATGCATCCAAATCTGTGTAAAAAAGGCGACCTTTAACTGGTTCAGGTGGAGAAGTAAGACATTAGAGCAAGCCTTAGAGAGGCTGGATTGTACACGTCCTGGGTAGAACTGAGCTAGGATTCGAGAGACCCCTAATCGGAGGAACGGTGTCATGCAGTCTTGAAGGAGCAAGTAGTCAGAACCTTAACTTTAACTTCACTGATAGGCAGACACCTCCTACAGCAGTGGTGCCCCTCACCATACCGGAGTATTGCTTTTGTAAAGTGCACCACCTACAGGTCCACCAACACCACGTACTGTAGCCACCTGGTTTTCCCTGGATATCTCCCATCCCAGTAGTGGCCAGACCCAGCCTTGCTGAGCGTGCTGAGCTTCTGAGACCTGACCTGATCAGGCTCCTAGGCAGTGTTCTCGGCATCTCACACACACACATGCACACTTGAAAGCTGAGAGGCAGAAAGAATAAAAAAAAAAAAAAAAGCCTGGGCTGTTGAAGTTTCTTCAGGTGTTACTCTTAGTTTTTTCTTCCTCTTTCTGCCTTCCAGTGTGGCGTTAACGTCTACTCGTTCCTTTGCAGCCAAAACACACAGACACAGATCCTTACTCGAACCCGTTCTGTAAATGGTTTCACAATCCTAAGATGTGATGAAAGGTGCAAAATAAGCATACATAATATGCGATTTATCGTGTTAGGTATAGGAGGTCAATCTTTCATAATAAGATAATGGAATTAACTCCATGTTCCCAGATCTCCTTAATGCTGCAGTCTTTTATTCACACAGTACTTGACAGACACATTTCCATTAGCCTTGCTAACTACATTCACTCTAATGAGCAGGTTTTATGTCGCCAGCTATGTCCCTGTGTGCGACAGGCTCTAGCAGCTGTGACCAGAGAGTCAATTAGTCTCAAACCATTTTCCCTTGTATGTTACAGAACTGGAACCAGTTTCCCTTCAGGAACTTCCAGTCTAGAGCAGCACCAAGCCACCACTGAGATCAAGACCTAAAGAGTTTACAGGTAATGGTATAATACGGTTTCCCACATCAAACAGGATTCTAATCATGATTCAGCATCTAAAAAGCTAGAAAATACATGCTCTGTTCGTTCATTACAGAATAACGGGGAGGAAAAATTAAAAGTTCAGCCACATCGTTCGATTGGCACACCTTTGCAAAGGTACAAGGAGCGCGTCAAGAAAAAGTCCCTCCTCTCCCGGTTCCCGAGTCGAACTTCTTGGCACCTGCGACGGCCTCTTCCAGAATAACGTGCCTGCTGTGGTCCAGCTCGAACTGCAGGGCCTGAGAGAAGCAGGGGGCGTCGAAGGCGCTGTGGTAGGCCGAGGCGCGGTCGGCGCGCAGGCACTGCTGGGGGAACTCGGAGATCTCCTTGGCCAGGGCCAGGGCAGCCTGCAGGGCTGAGGGACAGGCCAGCAACAGAGGGTCAAGCAGGGCTGCAGGGCAGGTAACATTCACACATTCACTGGACACGGGGCAAAACAGCAGCAGGTACGGGATTATTCACTTATTCGCTCGGGGGGGGTGGGAGTGTCAAGCAGTTCTATGGAATACGGATATAAAGTACTTCTACTTGAAACAAAGAGCCTTGATTTATACCACGCTCTGCAGGTCTTCAAGATTCCCTTCATTTCAATGCCTGCTACCTGCTTCAAGAATGCCCTCATGGAAATATGTGGAAATATCTTTTAACGGCAAGCTACAGAAATGTGGTCCCAGAAGGAAACACATTCCCCTGTTGATCCTCTTCTCTTTCAGTAAAGACCTTGGAAGTAAAGCGCCGTGTGGACATACAGTAAGCTGACTCAGGGTTGTGAAAGAACACTGCTCTTGCTCATTTAAAAGAGCTCAGGGCACAAGGATGCTGGAGTAAATGAACCAGGTGGGTTATTTTAAGAGAAAAACATTACCTTGTTGCATTGAGAAGGATGCTTCTCTGTCGTCAAGTAACAAGGAAACAAAGATTTAAAGAATGCCTCCCAATTTTTAAACCACTGCTGTCATCGATGGCAAAGGAAACAAAGCAGAACAATGCTCTTTTTACTTCATAATCGTACGGTCACTGACGCTTGTAGAGAAAAGAACAAAAATAATTTATGATGATGCCACAACCACTTTTTAATGTTTCACAGCAGTCTAAAATTAAACAAGGCCACAGACGGCGATAACGGGCTCCGGCGTTCTTCTCAGCTTACTGGGTAGGCCGGGCGCCTGCTCTTTTGTGCCAAAATTTTCCCTTTTCTTTTAAAAAGTCACTCCGCAGTCCCAGACAGACCACCCCGCCCACTCCACTGCAGGGACCGATTAACTGCGCCTGGCCATGCTTCCTGGAAGTGGCTTCCTTCATCATCCCAGGAAATCTGGGCAATTTCATGGGGTGGGCACGAGAAAGCCCCTTTTCTGCTGTGGCAGCGTTTATGTGCAGGTTGATGTTTCAGAAGTGCAAGCCCACGGCTGCCTGTTTAAGAACTCAGACACCTCTGTGAGCTGTCAGGCGTGGAGGTACAGGGACACCGCTGGCTGAAAAAGCTGAAGCACAAAGCCCAGCCATGCCCACGCCGAGAGGCGTAGACCTCCATCCATGATATAATCCAATGTCCTCATTTTCGTTTGGAAGATACTGAATGGCTCTGGATCGTTCTAAGGAGGTTCCAACCTTTCTCCCTCCTCTATGAAGTGATCTCCACCGTGAGCCTACAGACACACCAACATTGGAGCGGTGGCTCTGGGGCTCAGGATCTGCGCCCGTGGCTGGGAGGTTGCCGGTTCGTATCCCGCGGCCGGCAGAGGAATCCTACTCCACTGGGCCCCTGAGCAAGGCCCTTAACCCCAACTGCTCCAGGGGTGCTGTATAAATGGCTGACCCTGCGCTCTGACCCCCAGCTACTCTCCCTGCCTGTGTGTCTCACGGAGAGCAAGCTGGGGTCTGCGAAAAGACAAATTCCTAATGCAAGAAACTGTACAGGGCCAATAAAGTGATTGTAGCAGAGTCGGCGGAGTGAGCAGGTACCGTACTTCACCTTCTCCGTCGGGGACAACCCTGTTGGCGAGCCCGAACGCGAGCGCCTCCCGCGCGCCCACGGCCCTGCCTGTGAGGATGAGGTCCAGGGCCCTGGAGAGGCCGATGAGACGAGGCAGCCGCACCGTGCCTCCGTCAATCAGAGGAACGCCTCGGCCAAGAACACGAGAGCCACTTCGGTTATCTCCGCAGTAAAATTCCTGTTCGATTCAGTTTTATATAGCGCCTTTCACAGCAAGGTCGCCCCAAGCCACTTAACAAAGTTGTGTGACAATGCATGACGTTACAATACAGAAAGAGAAAAAGTCAGAGGACAAATCCATCCTCGGGCCTCAGGGCGTGTGTGCTCTGTTAATATTCAGGTGGGGAGCTGCGTCGGCATGCGCAGGCGGCAAGGGAACGAGTACGAGCTTTATTCCCTGCTGAAAAGAGAAGAGAGAAAACGCAACGTTTCAGCCTTGGAGCCTTGGAGCCTGGAGCACACCCGAAGAAGGCTCCACGGCCGAAACGTTGTGTTTCCTTTCTTCTCTTTTGAAGCTTGGCTGAAGTCACAACTTTTTTATAACAGCTTGGGTTGGACGAGCCACTTAAAAAAATACAGTTTTAAATATTTGCTCAGCAAAGTATTGCTTGGTTTTTGCTGCAACCTCATGCTTGTAAAGAAAAGACCCTCTAGTTTGGAACACTTTGCAATATAGTGACATTGTAGGAGCTAATGAATATACCGTAAATAACCAAAAAGTGATCTAGGACAGAAATTTAACTTGATATAATCTAAAAGACAATACTTCCTGTGTCTTAACTGGTGCCAGTGACAAGGGCCCGGTCCTATAGATCAGCAGTGAGCTGTGTGAGAGGAACAAGCGCCCACTTCCAAAGCAGGGCAGACAGCTGTGCAAGAGGGCGTGTTGAAAAACCCAAGACTGGTGTTCATATGAACAAATAATAAAGCAGAAAACCTCGAGTTATCGTTAAGGGCATGAAGCTTAATTACAGCCGAAGGAACTTACATTTTACAATCAAATAGGTTAGAACAACATGAAAAGGTTGCAGATGCCTTAAAACATATGCAAATAAACCGTGCCTCTAATCAGTGCTGAGCCTTGTGATGATGGCCTATAATTAACAATCCCTTCTCATGACAGCACTTTCTTTTCTAACTCTGTGTGTGAGGCTCTGTGCGCCCCCCTGACACTATCATGACTAGTGCTCTCTGGGCATTTGCCCACACCGCGTGGATTGAAAGCAGATGTAGTGTCCGTACACCTGGAGAACAGCAGTTTCCTTAACACCGCTATCACTGGAGCAAGATCGCTCCTTTCTGCTTGTATAATGCCCATAATAATAATAATTAACAATTTTTCATAACGATAAAGCTCGTCAACAAAAGTCCTCTTACTGAACTCACCGGTAGTTATAACTAGTAATTATGTACGACAGCCACTGGCCTAATGATTAAGCCCTGAATACTCTTCACAAGCATTTCTTTCAAAAGCAATTACAGGGAGTAAAATGCCATTTCTTGTGACCTAAAATTGTTCACGTGTGTGGTGCTGCTCTCCGTGTCCATTAAGCAGTGTTTAAATTGTGTGAACTTCTATCTAATACATACTGTATCCAATATATACTGTACCATATCTGCAATGAGTCTCTCTTATGTAAGCAGTAACTTTAATACAATGTTTTATGGTGTTAGTCCTTTATATTTGAGGCTCTCTGGTACTCATATTAATCTTTTGTCACAGGACATTGCTTTAAACTCACCGATGGCCAACTCCACTTCCCGGTGAAAAACTCTACAGAGCCGTTAGCTCCGAAACAAAGAGGCCAGGAGCCCAGAACAAGCACAGCGGGTTGTCAAGAGCATTGCCGGTCCTGGGCCCAGTTCCCTGAGGCCTCCCTGCCTTTCTCACAACCCGGCTCACCTGACGGGAGCACACCTGTGGGCGCGTGGCCAGACAGAGCCCAGAAGAGGAGGAGGCTGGGTAGCAGTAGCTGTACCCAGACCCGCTGGGGAAGGCCACTTTTAAAGCCCCTCCTTGGTTTTTCACCCGGGCTAGCTCTGGTGGTAGAGCATGAGACTCATTATCTCAGGGGAGTGGGTCTGTGTCCCACGTCGGGCGCCAGGTCCTCTGTGTTGGAGGTTGGGCACGAGGCTAACAACCCTGTCCTGTGAAAAACTGATGTTACGGAAACAGCAACAGGATCTTGCTGCTCCTACATGCCAGAAGGCATAACGGGTAAACATCTACAGCCATCTTGGTTGTTCATCAGCTTACTCCGGTTATTAATGATCAAAGAGGGATGGCCGCACTGCGGATTGAGATGATGCTGGAAAATTCCCAATGAGGCATGACTGGAAGAGTGTGACTATCCGGAGATTTACGGAGCCTGACAATAGCTTTTCCATGAGAATACAATGAGAAAAAAATGCATTCCACAAAACTAGATTATGGCAGAACAGGAATTATGCATAATTTCACTTTCCCACAGCACAGACACTTAAAATATTCTCCAAATATGGTGTAAGAGGAGTTCAGGAAAAAAAATCTTTTAAGATTGAATCCTCGACCGAGATTCAAACATACTGCAATTAAAAGAGTCAATTTTCCCCATATCTCAACATTTATATTGTTTACACTTCAACATTTACAAATTTAAACATTTTAGTCATTAGAGTGTGTGGATAGAGACCAAATCCTAACCACACGTAAATATTGTACACTGCCTCTTTAATGATCGGCCTTTGATATTTGAGAACAGTTAGTGTAATTGTGAATGTAGCTGATACATTGGTTCAAATGAATTATATTTACTTCAACAAAAGTCTCCACAACTGAAGTCAGCATATTTTTTGTTTTACTATTCAGCATATTTTCTGTGGTGGGTTAAAACCATTCACCTTTACATAATAAATGTGTAATTAATCTGAAAAGTGTCATGTCTCTCCATAGACTTGGAAACTTAAATGTTCTATTTCTGTACGTTTTAATCGAATTGTACTTCTGCGTACTGAAGCAACACCAAGTACAAGTATACTATACAGATTGTATATAGTGCACTTCACCCTGTTCCCAGTGGAGGAATAATGCCCTGAATTCACAAATGATTTCTCATGAAACATCAAGTACAAAGGCTCAATACCATGCTTTACTAATCACTGTAAAACCCACACTGGGTTTTCGTTATGGCAGACCTGTATCAGCCGAGAGAGAAGAAGTACAGTAGGTGTCCCCTGTGAACAAGCAGATCACACACATGAAGGCTTTCCTGCAGGCAGCCTGCTGGTGCTACTGGTACCCTGACCTCTTCAAAGCAATATGATTTACAACAGACTGACACGGGGAGATCAAATTCTGCAATGACAGCCCTAGGAATCGATCGTATCTACAGTGTCTGCAGCTTATTATTCCGGCACATTCAACAAAGTGCATCCAGGCAGAAGCATCCTGTACGCAGCAGGTTAGGGCCTGGATTTGTCGGTGTGTGGCTGTGGGTTCGAAACCCAGCCAGGCTACCGAGCGAGGCCTGTCGCTGAGATCCCTCCAGTAAACCGATCTGCTGCATGAACGGGAGCGCGCGGCAGCCGCCGAGGACGAACGCGCCAGCCAAATGAACAGTCGATGCCAGATGACTGAGTCTGCGTTTGCAGGGTTAGAGTTTAAGAACGCCGGGGCGGAAGGACTGTGGGAAGACTTTGTCTGAAGCCCTGTGTAAACAATTCTTCATCCAATAATATTTTATGACCTGTAATTCCTTTTTTTTTTAATAACGTCAGACTGAAACAGCTTTTCCCCTGGTAGTTTCATTCTCCTTTAGTATTGAATGCCCTAGCAGCTGAAATATATTTAATTTGGCAATCCCACTTTGCGGTTCCACCAGTTTTGTTTCCGAACTTTAAACTGATCCTTGCTGGAGTCACAACTTTTTTTATAACAGCTTGGGTTGGACGAGCCACTATAAAAAGTACAGTTTTAAATATTTGCTCAGCAGAGTATCGCTTGGTTTTTGCTGCAACCTCATGCTCGCAAAGCAAAGACCCTCTGTTTCGATCTCTCTGCACAACGAGCTTCCAGGCTAGTGAGCAGAAGGCCTGCTCTAACACATGGACACATCTCCAGCCTTGGCAGTCACTGATCCATCCACACTGCATTTATCTCGTTCGTGGGTTCGGGCTGCTCCTTTGAAATCCCACTGAAAATTTCCACCCACTGGCATCTCGTGGCTCTGAGGTTCAGATCACACGGCTACGGCCGTTCAGCTCAACCGTAATGATTTTGCAATCTGCCAAGTCACTGATGTGTATTTTCTTAAGCTTATTTGCCCATGTGCTTCCCTGAAAGGACGAGCTCCATGTTTTTTGAAGTCAGAAATATCAATCGTTTTCCGTCCCCCACCCATAACCCCCATTCCCTTCTTTCAAAGGCTGGAAGCTATTTCCTCTCCCAGAGCTACCAGATCCCAACGAGACGCAGCCAGTCTCCCAGCAGCAGGCACCTCAGCAACCAGGCATTCCTCACTCGCATGTCTGCAGCCAGAGGCATTAAAAATGCGACAACTGCTGCTCACTTGCTGTGTTTGCAGCGCATCTCAGTAAACTAACAGCATGAACGAGTCGATGTAGTTCGGGTGGGAGGCTGCGTCAGCAGGCGTAGGCTGCAAAGGAACAAGTATTGGGTTTATTCCCTGATGAAAAGAGAAGAAAGGAAACACAACGTTTTGGCTGTGGAGCCTCATCGGGGAAGGCTCCACAGCCGAAACGTTGTGTTTTCTTTTTTCTCTTTTCAGCATGGAGTAAACCTATTACTTGTTCCTGAACAAGTGGATACTGCCCAGATAACTCATCTTTTCTGTCACGTTCACAGATACTGTATCTGGACAGCAGAAATAGGAATGCTGATGATAAAGGATGCAGAAAAAACACTGCTGCATCTTTGAGTGCGTGAACCACAGGAAGTGTAGAACACTGTGGCACGGTGAAGGGCAGCATGAGAAGCAATGATTATCGAGAACTCTTTTTATCGCTTTCTGTGGGAAGGAAAGACCACCTGCACACCCGTGGTGAGAATGCAGGGCAGCTGTGCATTTCATTGAGCTCAGCTGCTTGGACTACCTGAAACGCTTAAATGAATCCTCTGCACGTGCGTTCATGCTTTGCGTTTCCTTTTTAAATATGTGAAGCGTTCATGTCAACAGAGGAAGCTCAGATGATAAGTTACAGCTGTTGGAACAGACAACAGCGTGTCCATACTGCTCCCACGGTTCCCCGCTCTGTATAATTTGATTTATTCCATCTGGACACCCACTTACGGGCAACAAATTAATAATTCGATGAGAAGAGGTAATAAAACGAAGCCTCTTTCGTTTTATTCGAAGCGGTCCAAAGCGAGCTGCTGCTATGGCAGTAACCCCGGTACAGGCCACGCTGATGATGGAGGGATAAGTTAATGTAGTTAGTTCAGGCTTCAGTACTTTCATGCATCTGCCACACGCACTGAGGATACATTTGAAAAGACTCTTATTTCGTGTAAATAGGAACAGTAGGCCTAAATATAATCAAAGGAACGAGTCCAGGGTAATTCCACACTAAAGAGCAGAAAGCAGGAAAAAGAATATTTCAGCTGTGGAGGTCTTTCCTGGTGTGTGAAGGGTTGTGTTTTTTTCCCATTCTTCCTACTTTCCAGTGTGGACTTAACCTCTGCTTGTTCCTTTACAGCCGGCACACACCAACACAGCCCACTGCCTGAACCTCTACAGAACCGTACGAACATATGGCCAGTTTGTTTGAAGGAAGCAACAAAGAGAAAATAACTTGTAACCACTTGAAAACCCATTGATTCTCCCTTTGGTCACAAGACAAATACTGATCTCTGATCCAGGAAAATGGGTTTAGAAAAAATCTGTGTATTGCTGTAAGCTTAGGAATCACATAAATCTTAACATATTTATTTCATGGCACATCATCTCAAAGCACCGTACAATATTGTTTTATTTATCAAATGCAGATGTTTGACATACATTTGTAACATTAAGTAAACTGTTTTTTATTTCTAGCTTTATTTAAAAACAGCTCTCCATCACTATGTAGAGACCTCACAAAGCCTGCTCTGAACCACACTGACAGAAACACACGTGCGACCAACCAGATGCATTCAAACTCACAGAGCTGGATAACAAAATGCTACAGCAAACCAATGCAAGACGGTTCCTAATGTTAGACGTTGCAGGTGATATTTTCCTTTCCAAAAGCAATGGTGACCCATCGCTAGGAACCACAAACACAGTCAAATAAAACAAACAAGAGTGCATAAGCTGTCATGAGACAGGAGTAGGGGTTGCCATTCTCTGTCATTTAACACTGTTCAGATACCTTAGCATCTCACAAAAACATCCACCGTGTCCGAATCACAGACACACAACCTTCAGTCTTATGGGGACGATAGCGACATGACGTGATTTGTGGAGCCCAAGCCTGGAGACACTGTGCTGTGATTGCCCTCAGCTTTCTCAATTGTCTTATAACCTCCCAGAAAAATACTGCACTATGCACATTTCATGACTTTCCGCTGGCTGATCTGTCTACATGGGCTGGGTTCTGGTTGAATGTCTCAGGTAACAGACTGTGTGTCTTCCTTAGGAGCAGCCCAACAATAGCAGCACTGCGCAGTCGTCTCATAACAATGCTCTGCCCGGCTGTCTAAAGACTGGGTATATTCAGACGCGGGCAATGCCAAGTTCATGTAGTTAATTACAGAGAAGGAATGATAAGCCGTGTTTAGAATAAAATGGGGGTGGGGGGAATCTACCAAGTAAATTACAGTCTGCACAGCTTATTTATAAACACTGCGGTTATACTTTTTGTGGGATCAGACTCATCTTAGGGGAGAGAAAATTCATCCCTTTTCCCTCCTGTGGCAATCAAGGCCTTTCCTGCAGATTTTCGCCCTGAGTCACACGCTCTTTCGGGGACCTTTCATCAAGCTTTGGCCCGCTGACCAAAGGCCGATCCGGTCTCAGACAACACCCCTTGCTTCACAGACTGCGTGCATGATGCCGAAGAGCGGCGGTTTGAATGACTTTAAAATGAAGGGTGCTTAAGTGTGGATAGTATGGTACAGCGTTCCTCATCTTTTTAGGCAGGAGGATAGGATGATGCTTTTCAGCTGAGGCTTTAAAGAAGACGCGTGTACCTGTGGCGCCGCACTCACTGAGCTGGAAACACGCAGTGTGGTTCAGGGTGCGAGCCTGAATGCTGTCTTGTCTCCGCCCATGAGGACTGGGTGAGAGCTGGTTGATCTGCTGCTTCTTTTAAGATCTGACTCATCTCAGTGTCCTTTCAGGCTCAACACTATGTGTCCATTAACACTGCTCATAGTAACCATTTTGACATTCTGCAGATGCTCGAGGTTTTGTCAGGCGGCCATTAATCTTTAAGCATGGCCACACTGCAGGAATAAAGGCAGAAGGGTGTCTTTAGCCTACCTCTCACTGGGAAATTCTCCGGTACCCCTGTAAGTTCACGGCGCAGAGTATAACTGAGGGTTGCAAACCTAATTTGGAAGAGCTAGAAAACACCAAAAACCGTCCTGCATTCCGAGGTGCAACGCCGCGCTCATTAGAGGTGAGCTTGGCGAAGCCTACTGAGAAAGAGAAACAAGTGCTGGTGGGACACTGAAGCAGACGCAGGTGACGGGTGAAAGGAGCCAGAAGAAACGGCAGAACAGCAGAGAGTAACGTACCGAAACGCCGGCAGAACACCCCCACGATGGCGCTTTCCTCCATCACCCTCAAGTCCGCCAGCAGGGCGAGCTCCAGACCTCCAGCGACGGCATAACCACTCACAGCCGCTATCACAGGCTTGGAGAGCTGCATGCGAGACGGGCCCTGCAATGGCACACACAGGGGCAGAGACAATCCAGCAGCCACTGCGGCCTCTCGTTCCGCTCACCTCCGCCACACACGTGTTTATGCAGCTCAATACCGACACGGTGTTGACTGGGAGTAATTCTGGAACTTCATACCATAGGACCAGGACCCTTGGTGACATCTTGTTCCAATTTAATGGAGGCTGAGTGATGGGCCAGCTCTTTCAAATCGTAACCAGAGCAGAAATTCCCTCCTGTAAGAAACCACAAAATTATAAAGTACGGTGCTGGAAACCAGAAGGAATAAAAAAAAAAAAATCTCTTTAAGAGTAGAGCTGCAATTTAGAAAGCGGGTCAGAGGAACTTTGGCACGTCTTTCAACGGAAATCGTTCTGCTCTTAAAGAGCCTTGCTAAAACAGGGTCTCTTCACGGTGCAATGCCTTTATTATAGATGTGCTATGCATACCTCTTTTGTGATCTAAACACAAACAAATAGTCAAACTGCCACATCTGTTGTTATAACAGAAAGGTCAAAACTGTAAAGTGCACGGTCTTCTTGTTGCTGATATTTTTGCCGTTATTGCTTAGTTTTATTCATGGCTACCAATATTACGTAGCACAACAATTCAGTTTGCAGCAGCATCGTCATCACGATCTCTGAGGCCTCAGGAAACAGTAAAGCAAAGTAAAGGGAGTAGAAGTTACAGTAAAAGCCAGAAGCGCACTTAAGCAGGGCCAGACGGGGGATCGAACGTTTGACTCCTCCAGCGACCCTGACCAGCCCATCACAGCCTGTCTCAGCAGGACTGCCATCGGCTCAGTGCTGGTACTGGTGGGTTTGACTTCAGTGCCCTTGGCCAGCTGGACACCTGCGACCCCGAGCCGTTTCTCCCAGCGAGCGCTGGCAGGAAGAAAGCCAGTGAACACTGCGCCTCAGCCAGTTCAGGTCAGGACACCAGTGGCAGTGTCACTGAAGAGAAACTGTTAACATACAAAGCGCTGCACTGACTGTGGTTCTTGTGGGACTGGGATGAGCGCAGACTTTGTTCGTGTGCCGGCTTTAACACAAACCTCACTTACGTTAAGCTCCAACCTGCTTTCGGTAAGCACTGTGTCTACTCTTCAGAGACGTACCCTTATTTACTCTTTAAATCCAGTACTTTTTATTTACATTATGCTTTGTCTTTTTTATCAGTGGTGTTTTTCTAAATCATTTGTTTTAAGGAATACGATCATTTAAAAATATACTTTACATGTTTGTGCTTCCTTAAAAGAGTGCCGTGAGGTCCCTGAGGATTGAATTTCATTCAATTAGTATTACCTACATACTTCTGATTTTACAGGTATCAATAACACTTTCAGCTAAACTCTTCAGTGATCACTACACAATGACAAGCCAGATTTCTTTTTTGGAAATTCCCTTAGTGGGATTTGATGCCAAAAAATATGTTTTGCACTCAAATCTTGTGCTGTTTTCTCTTTCCAAAAGACATATCCACAAAAAATAATTTATTATCTTCTGGTAACAACTAAATTTAAAATCCTTCACCCCACATCCTCATCGTGACATAACTGGTTCTAATTAATGCACAGAAAGTAAAGCAATTAGTGGGAATGAAAAATGTTTTTAAGCACTTAAACTAATAACCGTGTTCATGATTTCGTTTGATACACAATTCCAAAATTTTGATCAACTGTTGATTTAAATATGTGGATCCACTGTTTATTCAATAATGTGTGGATTTTAAAAAACAAATTTAAATTTTAAACTGGATTCATGTAAATGAGATTTAAGTTGTCATATTAAACACATATTTTAAATTTAACTGAACATGAACTGAAGGATTATTTTAATTATTTTAACAGTTTGAGTATTCTAGAGTCTGTAACTAAACAAGTATGGAAGCATTTTTTCCACCCCAGGTAAGTAAGAAAAATAAAAAAACATAATTTTCAATAGTGACTTAATGACCTAGAATGATCAAAACATTGTACAGACTATCCAACACACAAAGGCAAAACAGAAAAGTAACTGGTTAGTGTACCTTAGGGAGTAACAAAAAACAAAACATCAAAACAAAAAAACACAACCAACAATTAACACAAAAGTTAATTTCTTCTTCTTAGGAACATATGATGGGCTGGAAGTTTTATTGCAGTAAATTTTTATGCCTGAAAGAGTTAAAAAGTCTTGCCATTGTTCATGATAAAATGAGAAAAAAATCGTTTTGAATAAATATGAAAGCTATTATTTTTAATTCATGCCTACGTCTCTAAATATAATCTTCCTGCAACCTCGGTTTTTGTTCATACACAACACACTGTACATTGGAGTTTGGGAAAATGTGCCTTGTCATTTATGACACACACTTTTTTTTAAATTATCTCCCGGATGCTGTAAAAATAGTACCTAATTGGAACTTGGGAAAGAAAAGGCTCGTTTCTATTCAGGGCAGACGTTTTGAAAGGGCAGTGGCTCAAAGACAGGGCTACTGCCTACACAGTGTGAGACAGCGCTGTCGAAGCGCTGCAGCTCAGAGCCCTTTTGATGTTTTACAACTCCGTATTAAGCTGTTTAGGTTTTAAACATGTAATTAAGTAAATCATAATAATTGAACACTGTGAATCATAACAAACACTTTTAATTTTATGATAGCTAAGCCCAAAACTGCCTTGCTAGCAAGTCTCTGTAAAAGGAAGCTGTGGTGTGACCTGCATTTTGCCAGATAATCTTTCTTATAACTGCAGGCTGTAGAGCACTGTGACATTGTGCACTGTCACTGAAGTGTGAATTTAATTTTAGCAAAACTTGCCATTTTAATTTTGCAGCACAGCAGGCATACACTTTTTATATTTCTGCAAAAGATAAATGTGTAACCTTTCAGCAGCATGAAAGGTTACACAGTGTTACACAACAGAGGCCGGGATTTTACATTTTAATAAGACTAATGTGCTACAGTGTGCAATACTGGGCTACACAGTCTGCGGTTTGCAGGGTTAAGGAGAAAAAATTGTACCTTTTGAAACCACAACTTACAAACATCTTCAAACAAGATGCAAACATCTTTAAAAAGTCTTTTCTGAGACATAAATGTCTTTAACAAGTCCTTCCTGAGACGTTTTGTATTGAAATCAATGCATGGAAGTTGTGTATTTAGTGGAAATATGTCCCGGTTTTAACTGTAATATTTTTCGATTATTGTATTTCAATGACGTGGCTGTTTTGCTGTCTGCCCACCATAAGTAAGGACGCTCTTCCTTACGAGAGCTGTGACAAGCGAGGGATGATTCTGTAAATGCCAGGAATGATCCCAGAGCCTGCAGGACTCCCTGCAGTACTGAGAGCATGTGACAGCTCTGCGGTCAATGGGACGCCAGTCGCAGGACAACAGGGAAAGGGACAGTGCAGAGCACTGTTAAAACAGTTATTACAGTTAAAACCGGGACATATTTCCACTAAATACAGCTCATTACAGCTAAGCGGTTTCTCTTGGGGAGATGGGATGAAACTGGAGTGTCCGGGTGAAACCCACACAAACAACTCCGCACACCTGGGTGTCCGAGGCCAGAATTGATCCAGGCGCCGTGAAGCTGGTCAGCCAATTGCCACAAGCCCCCTTCCTTGCTGTCCAACACAAGTTAAATGTAAAAAACAAAAAAAACTTTCTAAAGACAAAAGGGTAAATAAAGAGAATGTGACAAAAACAAAAACATATTAAGTCACCATTTATTCCTACATCCTATTGGCTTTTTCCATTTCTTTTCCGTATTGTAAATGACGCATCAACATAAACATCAAAGCTTTTTTTAAAATATACAATAATTCTGTTGGGTATTTATAGTTTTCCTACACTGTAGTGTCTTCCTCTAATCCAGGGTCATGGGCGAGCCTGGGCAGTTTATGTTTTTACTACCTGCATATAACACTCCGTTTATACACAGCTCCTCAACGTTTAATACTGATAAGACATTGGACACCTGCCAGATGTTGGCCCAGTCTGGAAAGTGATCTAAATCCTTTTGGACTGTCCTTGCAGCTTCTAAAATAGTAAGCACAAATTTTACAAAAGGACATCTAACCCACAAGGGATTAAGTCTTCTTTCAGCCAGTCTGGGGAAGTTAGATTAAATGTCCCACGCAGGGCCGCATCGGGGGACACTAATCTCCCGACAATTGCGGGACGATGGAAAGCAAATAACCGAGGTGATGTCAGTTTGAGCAGCAAATGCTGAGTGATGCTGCTATGGACATGCGCAGCAGTGTCACAAGCTGGACGGTGTAGTGCAGGCTTTTTGTCATGCTGCGCGCTGCGTGTGTGGTAAGAGAAAGCTGGTTATAAACTGGGAGTTTATGTGGGGGCGCAGAAATCCAGCAGCAGTCACAACAGCCAGCCATCAGCTGCCGGCGGTGCCGTCCGGTGCCACTAACCTACTCCGTAGAGGACCGCGGCCGCCAGGGACGAGTCTTCCTCGAAGGCCTCGAAGTGTCCGAGCAGCTGCCGGGCCGTCTCCCGGTCGACGGCGTTCCTGACCTCCGGCCTGTTGATCCCGACGGTCAGGACCGGCCCCTTCCTCTCGGCCACGACCCTCTCCGGGGCGGCTGCAACGGGATCGAGCCAGGGCGCCGAGGTCAGCTCCTCACAGAGGAACGCCAACTCCGGCCCGGCCGCAGGCGGGACAGTTGGCCTAAAATCTGCTTTGGGTCGCCAACCGCTGTGTGTTCTCAAGGCTTAAATTTATAGCACTCGTTTAGTAAAGATTGGGCGAGGGGGGGGGGTGGTAACATCAGAAGACCCGATAAAAAAGATCCTAAGTATACAAAGATCCTAGTACAAACACGTGGGAAGAGATATTTAGCTCATCAACTCCATTGGGTAGTTAGCAGCTAACTGTTCCAATCGCGAAAGAACTCAGGAGATTTTCAACATGGCTGGCTGGTTTAACACATCCCTGCAGTTTCGTCTCGGCGTGCCCTGTTCTGTGTTTCACTCCTAATCCCGAAAGACTCCGTTAGCAATATGGTGCCATTTCTTTTAGAGGACCAACAAGAGCTTGCACATTTTTCAGGCCCGTGTGTGGCTGAGGGTTTTTTTAATCCCATTCAGCCTGGGTACACACCCCACTCCTCCTTACCTGGGGAGCTCCCTTGAGACGTAACCCTTTTGAGTGTAAATGAAAAACTGCCAGTTGCTACTACACTGCACTTCTGGTTTAATCTTGGGAGTTACAAATAAAATCATCTCTGTTTCTGAAGTAGCGGAATGTTGTGCAGTTTGCTTTAAATAGGCAGCCGCGATTCAGACACATGCAGACAATACAAACAGGGAAGTCAGAATTTCATGGCCAGCTTAAACTTTTGACTAAAAGACTTTTTTTCTGAGTAACATATTCTGCGTCTTCCTAGTTTGTGTATGCACCAGCATTTTACCATCTTTTCATAGTGCAGGACTAAAGCAAGACAGTGCAGTCGTGCACTTAATTCATAAAGGGGTTCTACACACAAAACCACACCGAAAAATAGCTTATTTGAAGATCATTTTATTACAGAAATGTTTTAGAGTCAAATATGAAACAGCTGTGATGGTAGTGATTGAAGTTGAATCAGTGGATTTGCAATCGCATGACAGCTTTACAGAAAACTCATTTCAGTCGCCGTCTTTCATGCTTAATTCTTATTTTTTTTCCATGTATCTATTTAAAGTATCAGCAACCAAAACCCAACTGGGGTTAATGCAAAACATTACAATGTGTCTCATTTTGCACCAGATGTGAATTCGTATTTCAAAGATGAACCTGAGCTAAGAGAATGAACTGGGATCACGAGGTCACGACCGCAAAAATTGCAAGATTCTACCGAATTAAGAGGGAAAAAAACGATTTCTGCCTAATAACTTTTCTTGTTCTTTAAGTCTCAGGAAACGTACATTGCAACTTCCTTTCTTTTTACCCCAGGCTTTTGATGTCACCACAAAAGGAAACCGAAAATCAACCCATAATTATGCCTTTTGACAGCTCTATAAATGCATTTAGAATGGCAAAACTATTGCTGGCATAGTTAGAGAGGTTAAAGACGTTATGGCTTTCAGCATGTGTGAAGAACTTAAACTCAAGGGGGCATTTTATTCTGCACTACAATAACTTACATTCACCTTTCTTCATCTCTGAAATGTAATACTTGAAGGTAGCTTGATCCAATTGAAAAAAAAAAAATAGTTTGGGTTCTATAATTATGTATCGACGCAACCTGGTCTAGATTAAGATAGATTTAGATGAACATGTTTACAGCACTGGCACGTATTTTGCAAAGCCTCCCAGAGGATTGATTTTGCCTTTCTCTCCCGTCAAATAGCAGGATTTGGAGGGGTGGACTGCACACATCGCGCTACCAGGGAGACGGGTGTAAATTACGCAGTTAAGGCAGCCCTTCTCGGGACAAGCTGCAGAAAGTCTGCTGTGCAGTCTCGGCAGAAAGGAAAGATATTCTCCACTAAAACCATAAGTGTCACTTATCGACACCGAGATCCTTTCACTGGATTTTTGCTGCCCTCTAGTGTAGCACTACATGTGTTAGCACAAACAAACACATACCTGCAGCCTGCCCCTTTCTGCTTGAGGCGCTGAAGGGTTTGACTGTGATCTGTCTGATTTTTCTCCCGTAAACCGACTGAAGAATCAAGGAGACATTCCCTTTTCGGGTTTCTGAAACCCGCGTACAAAATCTGCGAGCTAGGGTCGACGACATTACTAATGGCTATGTCCGCAAAGTCTAAAAGCGGATTGTTAGAGTAGCACGCAAACAAACAAAAAAAATACGTTCGAGGTTTCAGATGAACAGTTTCAGTCTTTTTGAGGACGGCTCTTCACTTTTACTCCTCTTCCTTCCAGGTACGGGGAAAGATCATTCACGTTTGAAGCGAGTTGTATCGCAAAATAGATCCCTCCAGAAACACATCACTACATGAGTTTCGGTCCCAGCCGAGAACTAGGACCAGTGTGTCTGATGCGCCTTTTTGTTTCGACACACCAGGTGGCACAGTTGAGGTCTCTCGCCGGGATTCCGTTCATTTGATGCAAATATTCAACGGGAAATGGTATCATTAAAAATGAGCTTCATAATATACTCATATGTACCATCTTAATGTCATGAAATAGTCCCAAAAAAAAACGAGCCTTCCTATGTATAGCTCCATGTCTTTAAACACTTTAACATAGGAAAACGCAAGTGTGTTACAGTTGTGCATCACATTTTGTGGAACTTCAGATATTTGGGGCAGTAGTGACGGATTATATGAACACTCTGCTGTAGCATCTTCATCAGCAAAAACTGCAAAACGTTATTTGTGGAGTTACTGTCCTGTTAAGCAAATCCTAACACAAAAAAGTTTCAGAAAAAAATGTCTGCAACCATAAACTACTCTGCTCTATGTGTAATTGTGAGAGAATTATTGTGTTGGGATGTAGCGTATTCCTGTATTATGTTGTTTCTCAAGCTGCAGTCTTTAACTGGAGGAAAAGATTTTATCAAACGAAGCAAAGATTAAAAACCTTGTAAGGAATACACACATACATGGTAATATTAACATTATTTTAATATACAAAATAAGTTGCATTCTATACCAGCTTTGTGGACTGTGAAAATGAGATGATCTGGATTACATTCCATGTGCTCTAAAGTCCCATCTCCCTTTTTCATTCATGGACAAGGATAGTTTTGGCAACTTTGACAAAGAAGGAGCTGTTTCGATTTACTTTGTCACTGTTGCAGCTCCAGGGCACCAAAGGCAAGTCTGACACCAGAGGAATGAGAGAGGGTTACAGGAATGACGATTTCTGCGTTACAAAATGGTACTCCAACACCATTACAAAATAAACTGGCAATGTCCTGTTTACAACATCAAGACAGAAAGGGGTATCTCCACGTCCTGCAGGGAAGTTTAGTACAGATATGTTTCAGCATTTGTAGCATCCTGTAGCTACCACACAGACAACTACACAATCCCTCGACCTGCTGCAGTCGGCTCATCTTCATTCATTCATACCAAACAGGTTCCTGTAGGACACTGGTTTACTGTGGGGAGAGTTCAGGTCCAGGAAGACTGCTCTGTCTTGGCATCAGAAGGAATCTCTCTGCTTCAGAGGACAGGTCAATAGACATGAACATAAATATATAGCTAAAACTATATACTATTTTAAAAGAGACCTGGGCTTGAAAAAAAGCCCTCTTCCAATTTTTCTTTGCATTCTTTAGCACTTTCGCACCAATATCACTGTTCAGTCTGTCAATCTAAAACTTTCATCAAGTGCATAATGAGCAACAGTTCTATATCTCATCGTGTCCTGACTGATCGGAGCAACAGGAGAAAGTACTGTTGCGTTTTCAGTCTATTTTGGCATTTATAGAGATTCTGTTTCCAAGTTCTTCAAAGCAACTTTTCGGTTAGTTGCTAGCAGTTTAAAACCTGCTGCTGTCTTGGGGGACTGAAGTCCCCTGAAGTCTAACTTGCGTGTTTTTGTGACCATCAATTCATGCTTGTTTGCTGCCAACTCTCCCAGAATCATTTCTACATGATTATTTGGGGATCAGACCACTTCCTGCACAACTTTGCATTAAGTATTTTCGTAAAAAAAAAAGAAGCAGCTGTGCAGTTTAAGGCACCATGCATTACAAAATCATAAGACAAAGGCTTTACAAAAGCTTGAGCTACTTCTACTTGGCACTGTACTTTCTAATGTAGTATAATGTAAGTATCGCTTGTTAAAAAAAAGATTTGCTTCAGGATATGAACTAATGTAGTGAACTTAAAACCAGGAATTATGTCTAAACATTACCTGCTTTCACCATGTGGATTTGAGACTGTGGGTCACTAGGATATAAAAGGCTCTGTGTCAGTTAGGGCCATGCTTCATGGGTGTAGGACAACATCTTCAGGACTGTATGCAATTAATTTTACAAGTGACATTCACAGTCTGAATCAGAACTATTAACATATTAGTAAATGAAATAAAAAGGAGCGATTCCTCCTCAATTTCTCTGCCTCATCTGCAGTAAGAGAAGGGTAAGACAACATGGAAGACCGTTCTGGAACATCAGGCTGTCCACATGGTCAGTGGTCCAGGAATGGCTCTTTGCTATTATACAACATTGAGGACCATCGACAAGTACTGTTCATAAGACACCTGAATCCAGCCATCCTGATCTGTGTCGTACCTCCTGAACACATCCGTCAGTCTCTGCAAATGAAAGGTAAATGGATTTTAAAGCGTTGCGTTTATGGTGCAAATCTTTTTAAATTGATGTAGATCTTTTACATTTTTTGCAGAAAGAGCTAAACAGCTACACAAAACCGTTGTTTTCTGTAATTCACTGCAAACATGTTTTAACCTTAGGTTTAAAACGTTACACTTTCTTTCAGCTGTCACCTATCAAAAGATGTTTAACAAACAAGAAGCAATGTTGCATTTAAGGTTTTGCCTCTTGCCTTAAATACATTAAGCAGGAACTTAAAGGCTGTGGTACATATGCAGAATAATCAATGCGGGAAACTTCAAGTAGTGAACTATGAAACAAATATTCATTTATTAGAATCACTTCAGAAGCACTGTGAACAGCATCTCAGCAATGAACAGGCACTACTTTAAACCTTTTCTTTTCTTAAAAATGTCAATACCTAATATTTCCTTCCCCCTGTTTTCAGTTTCAAAGGTTCCTCTGCACTGATGGCTTAAAAAGTGTAGAATATGAAACCAGCATATGTACCATAGCTAAGGAGCATGTCTCCAGTAACTAACATACACAAAGACACAAACATTCCTAAAACAGACAAAGAAAGTCACCTGTAGGACAATGCAGCACTGAATGAAGTCATCAAAAGCCACCTGTCCTTTTCTTTGTCTGTCAAACTTCTGAATGAGAATGTCATAAAACTGATCGGAGAGGCGATAACCTTGAGAGAATAAGCAGAGAAAATGTCAAATCACACAGGGTGCATGATGGTCTAGCTTCCCACACTTCTAAAAGACGCCTTCGTTGACGTTTCCTCCTCTCGTAATCTTTAATCTCTCAAGTTTGAGCAGCTGCTCAATGAAACAGGTTTATAAGGTAAAGCCTAGAAACAAATATTTAGCTCTTAGTGTTAAATGTCTTCCAACATCCATAGAACAACTGTGCAAGAGGATTAATAGTTTTCCTGTCTCCTTAAATGTTTTTCCAATTAACACAAAATTTGTATTTTTTTTACTAATAACGCCTAATTTACTAATAACAACAGCCATACTCCAAGTTTTAATTCCCCTGCAATGTTTTATATGATGTCAAACATAATGAACAGATCTGCACCATTCATAAAGACCTGTAGACAAGTTGCAAAAATCAAATGTAAGTATTTTTTATTCTGTTTTGACACTATATTCTAACACTTACAGGAATAGGTCAGGGAATGTCTTACAGATTACCACCAAGTATGAGCTTTACTTTGATAAATGAAAAGCACACATTTCTCACCAAATCCAGCCAGAGCTTGCTTAAGCTCGTTCTTGTCAATTAGTCCAGAGCTGTCTCTGTCGTATGTCCGGAAGATGTTCTGCCAGTCTGTGATGTATTTCCAGACGCCTGAAAACTCATTAAAATTCACTCCTCCTTTATTGTCCCTGTCAAACATGGCTAAACACAAAGAAGGGTGAAAATGAAATTAAAGACAGTAATAAACTAATTTATATAGCAACTTTAAAAGATAGTATCTCAAAGCTCTTGACCTGATAAACCTCACTCAAAATTAAAAAAAAACAACACAAATTATGAACCAAGTGCGCTCTGTTGGCGAGATTTATCTTGAGATAATTGATTTCACTTTCACCAGAAATTCAAATTCAAGTTTCCTGTACACAAATGCCATATTAGTCCCAAAATTCTCATTCACACAAAACACAATAGAAGAAGCACTATGGAATGTGGTTGTGTCAAATACTTTCTATTTAATTTCCAGTTACATTACATCAGAACATTTAGCAATGGGGTCTCGCGTTTTTGTTGGATCTTCAGCCAAAATGTAAACTAAAGCAAAGTACAAACACTTTCTGAAGCCTATGAATTGTTACTACTTTAACTCTGACCGAAAAGTGGCTTTGTCACAGGCAGTTCGGCAGTACAAAGCACAAAGCCACAGTTGTGAGTCTAAATGAAATCCCATGAATGTTCTACTCGCTCCAGTTTTTCACCAAACTTAAGGCAAATCAAAGCTCTAACATGACCTCAGAACGATAGTATGATGTTTTTTGGTATTTAAAATAATGCCACCCAGAGCAAAGATGTAACCCCCATTTTGTTTCATGTTTTAAGTAAACCTGCATTTATTGTAAATTAAAATATATTCTTTTGGGATGACATGCAAACACATTTTTTTTACAGTCAAGTCAAAAAGGACTACTGTAAACATATCTCCATCCTGCGGGGTAATCAGAAAACAGATCCGAAGACCAACACACAGACACTAACGCCCTCTCAAGAGGAATCAGAGTAGACAGCCCGGATTCCTTAACAGGTCAGCAGTTTCTTGGAATTGACGACTTACATATGATTGATCGGACAGTCACTGGGTTAAAAGGTGTCCATGTACCTGAAGAAAAGGGCGAGAAAACAAAACCAGAAATATCAGTGCCTTCTGAAAACCAGAAGAATTATGGAACGCATCGCACTATTGAGTAATACACACAGACTGAGGCACAGGCTAGGCCATCTTACCCTGAAGAGCAGAGTGAAACACAAACTAACTATGCTGTGAACTATGATTCATGGCCTAAACCATTCTGAGGGACTTATGCAGAGAAATATTTCATCAATAAGAGCTTCTACACTTTCTCCTATGAATGTTGTGTCTTCTCGAGTACAGTGTGTCTTCTAACGTTGTTGTGAAATCAGCATCTCTAGCGCAGTATTAAAAGGAGGCAAATTAAGTTTTCAGCAACCTGGCCTTAACTCTCCACCAAATCAGCTGGCTTTTACTCTGCTGCGCAACTGTTGCCCAAGCCTTTAGCTTCAAAACAGCTCCTTCACTTGTCCACAGTCTTCTTCCTTTCATGTTTTGGAAAGTAGAAATAAACAACTATCATGACAAAATGTTTTTTCTGGTCTCAGGTTTTGTTTTGCTCATGACAGATTAATACTTCTAATTCTTAAAATTAAAAGAACAAGCTTTCAAGCTAAGCGAATAGCTATGAAAAATATGACCCTCAATTTATTGGAATAAACTTTCTGCTTGATCGAACTGGACAAACAAAACTCTCTTGCTCGAGAGAGCCAAGCCTGACTTCAAAGCTGGATGAGACTGAAAACAGTCATGAATTACCCAAAATCCACCCAGACTGGGAGCTGGGAGCCAGTTTATTCTGTACCCTGTGAGTTAAGACACACTGCAAATCATAACGGGTACTAAATCATATTAAAAATGGGAGGCACTCTTAAGCACAAAGCATGCAAGTGTTAATGGCCATTTCTGTGACAGCTTGAATATTTCCACCACAAAATAACTAAACAAGGACCTCCTGTGTCCAGCAACACAAGAGTGTTCAGTTCACTCCACTCTGAAGCAGTGCTCACGGAAAAGACAGCAGCACCCAAAGCCAACAGAAACACTTCGCTCCGGGTTCCTCACAGGGCAGCTGGAGGCTCAACAACAAAGCAGGGACAAAACACTTCATTGTATCACTCCTGCATGAAATCTGCAGATATCTGAAGACAACAAGAAGAATAAACTGCAGAGGCAGCTTTTCAAAAGCTAGTCAGAACACTATCCACCCACTTTCTAACTGCTTCTTCCAGTTCAGGACTGGGGGGAGGTAGAGTCTCTCCCAGCAGGCAACAGGCGCAAGGCAGGGTACACCCTGGACAGGACGCCAGTCCATCACAGGGCAGACACACACGCTCACCCTGGACAGGACGCCAGTCCAGCACAGGGCAGACACACACACTCACCCTGGACAGGACGCCAGTCCATCACAGGGCAGACACACACACTCACCCTGGACAGGACGCCAGTCCAGCACAGGCCACACAAACACACACACTCACCCTGGACAGGACGCCAGTCCATCACAGGGCAGACACACACGCTCACCCTGGACAGGATGCCAGTCCATCACAGGCCAGACACACACGCTCACCCTGGACAGGACGCAAGTCCATCACAGGGGGTCTGTGGACGCTCACCCTGGACAGGACGCCAGTCCATCACAGGGCAGACACACACGCTCACCCTGGACAGGACACCAGTCCATCACAGGGCAGACACACGCTCACCCTGGACGGGACGCCAGTCCATCACAGGGCAGACACACACGCTCACCCTGGACAGGACGCCAGTCCATCACAGGGCAGATACACACACAGGGACACTGAGGGCCAATTTCCCTGGAAGCTAATTAACCTCTAATTTGACACTGCGAGAATAATATTCAAATATAGCTTCTTCAATGCTCCCACTACTCTCTGGGAAAAGTCATGGCTCCTGCTCTCAGGTTTAAAGGTGAGCCATTCTTTGTACATCATCCAGTTCTTTTCACTCTAAATACTTCCTCAAGGGCCCCTCCTATTTAACACTGTACAGGCCATCAGGAATTTCACACACTCGTAGCTGACTATCCCTTAGTCACATGTTTACTGGTTTTATCAGGGTCACACTATTATCAAGCATTTCCAAGGTTACTACATAGCACCCAGTAGCAAAAACTGAATTGAAGAAAAAAAAAACATACTACGTGGTATAGCATCTTCCCTTAGGTTCTGAAGCTATATTATACACGATGGAAAATGGTTGGGAACAATCAATACTTTACTTTCTCTGTGTGTTTCTCCCCCCCCCTTACTTAGATCAATAATAAGAGATAAACTGAATAAAGAGGCACAGATTACGAGTCAACAGCACATCCGATACTGATGCTACAGAAACAGATGCTGACATGTACAATAGTGTCGCCCAGTTCATGCCACAGTGAAAATGATACATTTGCTGTGAGGTTACAGGACAGTTATGCTGAGCTACGTGAAAAAATGTCCCTCTTCCTCTACACTGCCGACACATGAGCACCCTTATACCGACCTGCATCTCTGCGATCTCGTTCTAACCTGCAATCAGGCTATTCACCTCATCTCTCCAGGCCTTTCTAACTCTAACGAAAATAAATACAAACATAAGATACACATGGTTTGGTTTCAATGAGTTGATAATGATCTTCTAAAATTAAACTTACCATTTGATAAAGCTTGCTGAAGCTCCGTGTCCGATATTGACCCACTCCGATCTTTGTCCACTCTGCAAGGATTAAAAAAGGATCATATTAACAAGGCAGAAGGAGAGAACAATGCAATAGCTCTTCCGTTTTCCCGTAGGTGAGTGACATTACCAAAGAAGTGACGGTGTTCAGGCTGCTGGATGCCACAGGAAGACAGGAGCGTACAGTATGTGGCTGCCTTGCTTACTCTTGGGCATCTTCATTTAACCAGGTTAGACTGCGGCCAGTCAGCGAACAGTTCCCTGCTCGTGTGGCGCAGAAGCGAAGTGTACTGTACACACAAGGCCAGACATACGGGGGGGCCCTGTCCTGGCCAGTCTCTGTCTGCTTTCTCTACAGGCCATGTCTTCACTGTTCTGCAGAGCTTGTTTCCCCAGGCTCACACACAAGCAGACAGCAATGGGCAAAACCGCCATGCTGTCCCAGGCAAAGCTGTGGAGTGCCACTCCAGCCTCAGTCCGGGGATATTGTGAGGTTCATCTTCAGCATTACTCTCCACTCCCTGTCTTTACTGTCCCTGCTTCCAGACTCTCCAGGTTTACCTGTGCAAGCCTGGACTGCGCTGTTCACAGCGCAGGACTGGACACCCTGCAGTCACACTGACCGGCCCTGCAGGTACAGGACTGGACACCCTGCGGGGCCTGGACTGGACACTCTGCAGACACACTGACGGGCCCTCCAGTCAACCTAAGAGTAACATACCTACCAACCATGCCCAACAACAGGAACAGCCAGTGACATGGTAGAGATAGATGACCTCTACTGTTCTGTCTGTTTTGTCGGCAGTTCACTGTTACACCTTATTAAGGTAAAGCATGTTTACAGGTCTTTTTTTACAATTCTGCAGATAACAGCTATCACACTAATAGATGTAGACCTGCATCACAGGCAAGCACAGTAACAGATCCTCTCTCACAGCTGGTATGAAAATACTGAGCTATGAAAAGACCTGCAGGACTGGATTGGCTACTGTTGTGACTAAAAACAGCTCTGGGGCTGCATTGGTACCCCTGCTCATCGCAGGCAGGTGAAGTGCAAGATAAATCTAGGAGCATTTAAACAGTTTTGCCTGGGGTAGAATAGGTGACGTTAAAAATATTTCATTTGACTAGTGATGACAGACAATGATATAGGTGAGCCACTGTGTAGCCTTATTTCAGGACTGCAGGGTAATACTTTATGATATGGGGAATAATTTGCTATGTTAAACTTGAAACCAAAAGAAGTCAATTTCATTCCTACAGTCTGGCTCACACAGTAGGAATGTGACTTGCACAGACGTATCTGTCTTCACCTGCATACTCATGGGGAGCAAATGTGTTTATTCAAATGCAGTTTTTTATTTTTCACCTTGCTCATAAAATTAGCAGGAAACCCTCCCTGGTATCAGCATTACCAGCTCCAAAACGATGTCTGGTTTTGCCCCATGATTCAGTTGAGACTCTCTCAGAGGCTGAGTGACTCACCTGACCTTTGACCACGCCACAGTGCCGGTCATGTGACCCAAGGCGTCCAGGCAACGCAACGTGTTGTGGCAAAACGAATCACTTCAGTGTGTGGCCAAACCAAGAAGTATGCGGGTGGAGACGAGGTTAAACGTTTATTTGGGGGAACATTTTATTTTCCTTGGAGTGCTGACTGCTTCACTGTGGGTGTGTCATTTTCCCCCTTCAGTAGCTTACACACCGTGGAAAAAACGTGCAGGGCCTCAGGGTAGAATAGGTGTGCGAGTCTTTCCCAACATGAGCCGGCAACAAAGACCAACTTTGTCCGGTTTTTGCTCGCTCTTCAGGAATACGAACAAGGCAACCTAAGTACAGTATTGGAGTACACAGACACTCTGTGCAAGGAGCTCTGTGATGTAGTGATAGAGGCATTCACACGGACATATAAGAGAAGTGCGAAGCAGAAAGAGACAGTTCGTCCAGTTGTATGCTTTTTGCTTTTTAAATATGGGACTGTACACAGCACTTTCATCCTGATGGTCCCAACAATTCAGTCACTTCAGACACGCGGGCAACCCATTTGACACGATCCATAAAAAAGGCCAACAGGGACTCTTCTTTCTTCGAAAACACAGGTACTTTAAGGTAGATAAAACTATCCTTAAGACCTTTCTACAAGTGAATATAAGTGGCAAAATAATCAGGAATAATCAAATCAACTTAAGCATCCTTTACAAACAGAGGGTGACTAAGAAAGCCAAAAGCACCAGGGAGTGTGTGTGTCACCCCTCCATTGTGAATTCACACTTCTCCCATCTGGGAGACACCTCTGTGCCCCCAGGTGTAAAACCAACAGACTCAGGAAATATCTTTCCCACTGCAATTACACTCTTCAACAATGCAAAGTCATTACCTTGTCTCTTGTTTCTTTTCTCCTGTCACACTACTGCATTCTCTTCCCTTTTGATGATGTGTATTTGTCATTGTGTTGTGTTCTGACTGTGCTGTAAAACAAACTTCTCCTAGGGGACAATAAAGCTTGAATTGATTTGAATTTTACACACTGCCTAGCTTGTATGTAAAACTGTGCTGTTGGCCATCCATCTTGAATATGTTACACAACATGCTGGCCTTGCAACACGCCCCATGACAATCAGGAACTTGCAGACAGTAACAGCCTGCACAGTGCGTTTCCACTTCTGTCCACTGTGACTCCTTGATGATGTCGCAGTACAGTCAGAGGTTCGCATGTGACGGGTTAACAGCATCAGTCCCTGCCGTGCTTTCAGATGTACCCCGATATTAAACACAGGACCTCCACACAGCATCTGCTGGAAGTATTTTATATATATATACTGATGGAAAAAAGAAACGCAACACCTCCTCCTCCACACTCTGGCCCTCCCGTCTGCGTGGGACAGGCTGAAGAGGGACTCATCCATGAAGAGGACCTGATGCCACTGCTGATGAGTCCATCACAGCCTCTGTCTGGCCCAAGCCAGTCGGGTGTGACGTCTAGGAGGTGTGAGCAGAGGGCCCCTGACAGGTCGCCCTGCTCTAAGGCCAGCAGCATGGAGCCTCACTGTCCTGTCACTGATGTGGACATTGTGTCTGCTGGCAGGTTCAGCAGCGGTACGGGTGGCAGATCTGAAACGATCTCTCGGACGGACCAGTCTGGTGTGTCTGTCCTGCTCTGGTGTGGTCACAGTGTGACCGGATCTTGGAGGGTCATCTGTCCTGCCGGTCTGCTGAAACCTTCTCTTCAGTCTCAGTGGAGCAGCTCACTCCATAGTGTCTGGCAATGCTGGCACATGACATGCCTGCCTGCAGCATGCCAATGGCCCTCTCCCTTGCTCCTGGTGACATTCGAGGCATTATACTGACGAAGTGTGGCCTTTTTCTTGCAGTGACCTAAGCTTTGAATTCAGGCCTTTTTAAAGGTGACCTGATCAGGCATTGTTCCACCTGGACCTCGTTGGGTAAAAGTGCACCTAACGAGCTTCCGTGTGATTGGCAAGTTGCAATGCCTCACTGCACAAGCTGTATTGCTGGTCAGAGGGCTTAAAACAAATTGACAACGTTTTGTACATCAGCTATAACTATAGTATTCTCATTCCAGAAAATGCTGCGATTCTTTTTTTCCCATCGGTATATTTCAGTATTGCGTGCCTTAAACCGGGGTTCCCAGATGTTTTTTTTCAGCACTTCAACGTGTAATAGTTTCCTTTTAACTAACCCCTTCAGAGAAAGGACTCAAATAGAGTCATGTTCAGGCCCAGTGGTCAGCACTGCTGCCTCGCTGATCTGGGGCTCTGGGGTCAGTTCCTGGGGTGCTGTCTGTGTGGAGTCTACATGTCACCCTGTGGTCACGGGACTTTCCTTCTGTTGCTCCTGTTTCCCCCCACAGTCCAAAGACCTGCTGGTAGGTTAACTGGCTTCTTGGAAAATAGACCCTGGTGTGAGAGTGTGTCTGCGTCTGTGCCCTGTGATGGACTGGCACCCCACCCAGGGTGTACCCCATCTTGCGCCCCAGGCTGGCCTGGCTCCCCGGTGTGACCCTGCTACTGGATAAAGTAGTGAGAAAATGGATGGATGTCCATCCTCTCTGAGTCAATGAAGTAACTGGCAGCTATGCAGGCATGAAAAACTGGAACTGACACCAAGCAACTCCTGGTGACGACTGACGAGCAGCGCCGCCCTCCCTTCCTTTAGAAACCTGACAGAAGCACGGTGAGCAGCGATACCTTTCAGATAAAGTACCATCAAAGCTGCATAAAGATGCATGAATGACCACAGTTTGCTTTGATTTCTGAAATTCTTTGATTCAATTCAGTCCCAAGGCCAGAGAAAATGGAATTAGAACATCCCCTCCAATGTTTAGACACAGATCACAGAGATCCTGCAGCACCTAGGATTTCAATCTGAGGAGCCCATCTCTACTTCTAGCGGGCCTGTAGTCACAGGTTTCTGTTCCACCAGAGCTCTCAGTTAAGAGAGCAGAACTAATTCTCCAGTTAACTGCATAATTGTAACACATCAAGCCAGCCCCTAAGGGATTTTTTATTGACAGCCCTACCTTTCATGAAGTTAAAGTTCCAGTGACCAGATTTAAAAGACCCTTAAAAATCATGTCAAATCTAACCAAGAACTAACTGTGTGATTAATTATTCAGGTCGAAACAAAATCCAGGAGATAGTAGACTAGCCCCACACCCCAGGTGATGTAAGGTCATTTCCCTGCATATCTCGGTAGTTAAGAAGTAACCTGGCGTGACATCAGCTAATCCTGCCAGTAAACCTCACGCCCCGTGGGTACAGAGACCAGTGTTTGTATTGACAACACGGCAGGGCCTTGCACAGTGCTGTACGCGTCCGCGGAGCCCACGGAAACCCCCAGCGATCAAGCCTGCCTCATCCGTGGGAGCGATAAGAAACACCACACGCTGGCACGTCACCGCTGACAGACAGGCGCCCACCACACCGCAAAACACGCCACGGCGAAAGAAACGCGCGCCTGTGACACGTCGGTCAGGGGAGATCAGGCAATCACGCGACTGTACCCACCCGGATCCGCGTTCACCCACACCGCTCCGTGAAAGCTCACATTAACACAGCAGCTGCGGCCAGGTCGCCTCGCTCGAAACACGTTCAGAAAAACACGGAAACCGAAACAAACGTTACGAGGGACAGACCCATCTCCATGTAAATCGTGTCGTCCTTTTTTTGGAGGGGTTGTTTTACATTTCTTACCTCTGAAATATGTTCCACAGGAAACCTTGATCGGGCGGGGTGTTGTACTGCGACGGTCGATACTGATATGCCATTCTAGGGTATTTTTGTTTTTGAGTTGTTCTTTCAGACTGATTCAAGATGAAACAGACACTCCTGTCTATCCCTCAGTCAGGCTTCGCCAGTTTCACAGTGGGACTCCACACTGACCCGGACCCACACAGTAGCGTGTCACCACTTCCCCCAGGGCGTCTCAGGCGTGACGTCACTTCCCCCCGCCCCACCTCGGTGCCGCCCAGCGGGCGTCACGGGAGCCTCTCGGTTGCCGCGGCGACAGAGGAGCGACGCTCTCGCGGTTAACCGTCACGTGGCAGGCCAGCACGGTGACTTCCGCCTTGTGTCACTTCCTGGTGCTGGAAATCGCGGCTCTCGATATAAATCGGTGAATCCGAGGTATCTCGCCGGTTTTTCTTTAAATGTCTGATTGTCTTTGAAGTGTTATTCTGGCCGTTTATTTAGAGTGAAGGGAAATGGTTTATCTTAAAGCACGCTGTGTGCAATAAAGCTACAGTTAGCTGTAGCGCTGTCAGCTCCAAAGGGGTGAGACACCTTGGTTACATTTATCTGATATAAACAGACTCCACACGTGTAATATCAGTAATTTACTTTATAATCTAGTCTGAGTGTGTAACCAAAGCAAGTTTTTAACTGCAGTCGATAAAAGAGTGAATCTTGTTTTTTTATATAAAATGGCAATAATAGGCTGCAGTGAAAATCGTAATGTATCATTATTTTTTCAAATAATATACAGATAAGATCTCTTTATTATCCATATACAATTTCTTGCATTAAGAATTTGTCTTTCCGCGTACCCCAGCTTGCTCTCCATGAGACACACAGACAGAGAGAGAAGTTGGGGGTCAGAGCGCAGGGTCAGATATTTATACAGCACCCCTGGAGCAGTTGGGGTGAAGGGCCTTGCTCAGGGGCCCAACGGAGTAGGATTCCTCTGCTTGCTGCAGGATTTGAACCGGCAACCTTCCAGCCAGAGGCGCAGATCCTGAGCCACAGAGCCTCCGCTCCGCCCTAGCACATCTGCAATCATGTCAAATGATGTAATTTGTTATACATATAATTTAAAGGAGAAGAGCTAGAGATACTTCGCTCGTTCCGATCAGATTTGTGGAAATAGCTGAAGAGTTTGTCAGGACTGATACAGCACAGGTCCGCATTCTTCAGCGGCGTTATTTATGTTTTGACAAGTTCAATGTTGGTCTCCCTTAGTGGCCATTTATTTTATTTAAGTTACACTGCTCTCACAGACCAGGCGGCTTGAGGGGGAAACTGCCCCTTCTTGGACGGGAAATTGAAACAGTTTTTAAAGCAGATCCGTGTCAAGACATCGCCCCCCGTTCGAGGTGTGGCTGATTGTAGAGCCCTGAACCGGTCTGTGCTTTATTCAGCAACTTTTGGTATTACTTTTCAGATGCCATGATGTCCTCCGGAATCGAATGTGGTGGTAAAACATTTTGGCTTAAATTAGGAAACCCCGACAGTGACGGGAACTTGTGGGAATCTTGTTCTCTTGCTTGAAGAGCCTAGAACTCCCCCAGGAGTGTGGTGCGCCCCCCTGGGAGAGCAGGGCGAAATTGCTGCTGTCCAATGGCCGCCTTCAAGGACTGGACCACCGCTCTGCTTCAGAAGAAGGGAGCGCTGTTTGGCACAGCGTACTTGATCAGGATCCTTCTGGTGTTCTATGGGGTGTATCAGGACAAGGTCATGGTGGTGAAATACACCGATGTCGACTACCACGTTTTCACAGATGCCTCGCGGTTCGTCACACAGGTTTGTACGCAGAAGCGTTGTGCATTTTAATGAACACGTGTGCATTTGTCGAGTTTGGAACAAGTAGTCATGATCTTAAAATACTACTTGTAATTATGACTTGATTGCTGATCCTCGGGTATATCACTTACTCAATGTTTTTACTGAACGGTTTTCTCTTGCTCCCTTGTCTCACTGAAATGATCAGTTTTCCGCCTGCCCCATGATAATCTATAGGCTAAACGCCCTGGTAGCACTTACAGAGATCGCCACAGGGAAACTGCCTTTCGCGTTTTGAGACGTTTTCTTCTGTCGTCGTTCTGTAGCCTGCAGAAGCCCTGCCGTGTTTCTCTCGCCACCTGAACGCTCCTGCCTTGCCTTCCCAGGGCTCTTCCCCCTATAAGAGGGCCACCTACCGCTACACCCCTTTGCTGGCCTGGATTCTCACCCCCAACGTTTACGTGGCCGCGGTGTTCGGGAAGCTGCTGTTTGTGACGTGCGACGTCCTCTCCGCCCTGCTGCTGCACGAGCTCCTGCGGCTCCGGGGGCTGGGCAGCGCGGCGGCCTGCCGCTACTGTGCCCTGTGGCTGCTCAACCCCCTGCCCGTGGGCGTCTCCAGCCGGGGGAACGCCGAGTCCCTGCTGGCGGTGCTGGTCGTCGCCACTCTGTACCTGCTGGAGCGGGGCCGCCTGAGCCGGGCCGCGCTGTGCTACGGGCTGGCGGTGCACATGAAGATCTACCCGGCGACCTACGCCATTCCCATCGCCCTGGCGCTGCGGAGACGGCCCGCCCCCACGCTGCTCTCGGGGCTCCTGAGCAGAGACCTGCTCGTGTTCGCGGCCGTGGCTGGGGGAACGTTCTGTGGGCTCGGCCTGGTGTTTTATCACATGTGAGTTTGAGGTCCGCCCCCCCCGATGCGACCCCGGTGCGGGGAATGGTGAGAGGCCCCCGAGGGAGCCAGCGCAGGCTCTGAGACGCGTTCCCGCTGCTTCCCCGCTGCTCCCTGTGGTTCGGCAGCCATCGGCATCTCCGGGATGAATTACGCTCCTTAGGAGAATTCTCTTTGCCCGCGGAGCTAGTGCCCCTTCTGTCTCTTGTTAAAACTGGGCTCAGCCGAGATTGTAAACGTCTTTCTTCCTGTAGAGTTTTGCGGTGTTGAGCCCGCCCGAGCCAGAGGTCACAGGAATACAGCGTCTGAGTGGGTGAGCTGTGACGTTGCGCGTCGGCTGTAGAGGGACAAGTAAAGGTCAATTCCATGCTGGATAATAGAAAGGAGTAACAATATTTCGGCTGTTGAGAGGTCTTCAGGGGTGCAGGAGTGCCTTCGTCAGGCGGCTCCGAACCGCTGTGTTAGAATTGACCTTTACCTGTTCCTTCACAGAAACGCAGCGATTGACGAGCTTCTGAACGGAATGGACTGTGGGAGAATAGCCTGAGTAAACCAGAAGTGTGCTGGAGACGATCCCGCAAAGCCAGTTCTGCGCCTCCCTCTGCGCGGTCCTGGATCTGTACCGGCTTGATGCCGATGGCCCTCAGGCGGGGGGGGGGGGTGGATGAGAAAGAGATGTCCACTGGGAAATAACCCAGAGAGCGGACCGTTCGGTTGTCTTTGTCATACCCAAGACCCACGCGCCGTCGGGCTGTGACAGGGTCCATCTGTTGAGAAATGAGACTTCGGCGAGCACGTCCAGTCCATGCCTTGAATTGGGCTGCACGAGGCGTGTGCCTTGTTGATCCAGAAACGCAAAGAAGAAACGATTTGGAAAGAACTGTTTGGGAAATGGCGTTCTGCCCAGCTGGGGCTCAGGGGTTCTGTTCTCTGGTCTCACCCGTTTCTCTCTCCCCGCGGCCTGTTTCTGTCGAAGGTATGGCTGGGACTTTGTGGAGCACACGTACCTGTACCACGTGACCCGGAGGGACATCCGCCACAACTTCTCGGCCTACTTCTACATGCTGTACCTGACGGCGGAGAGCCGGGCCAGCCTGGCCCTGGGGCTGGCCGCCTTCCTGCCCCAGCTGGCGCTGCTGCTGCTGACCGCGCTGGCCTTCCACCCGGACCTGGCCTTCTGCTGCTTCCTGCACACCGCCGTCTTCGTCAGCTTCAACAAAGTCTGCACTTCCCAGGTCTCGGGCGCTGGCCGTTTTGTCTCGTCGCATGACCTCTGTAAATGAGCGTGCCGGCACGTTCCTGGCTTTGCTCGATGTGAAACCGCGTGCGGTTCTTAACGGGAGCGCTTTTAGTCCCTGGTGACACTGGCTGTTCTGTTGGCTTTGGATTTAAAAGGTCTCGTAGCTCAAACTAAAGCGACCAGTGTGTCCACTAAACTACCCGACGGGGATCGTGTGAATTACCCGCAGAGAAAACTCATTTGTTCTTGGAAATGGTGGGACTGCAATGACTCACAAAGGATAACTCACAGTAATCTGTGTTGTATGTTTGTTTTGAAACTGTTTATATCGAGAAAGGAAGCTGAATAATTTCCCACTGATCGTCCTGTAGTGACCTTTGTCCTGTGTCCTGTCTTTTTTGTCTGCAGTACTTCCTCTGGTACCTGTGCCTGCTGCCTCTGGTTCTCCCCTGCCTGACGTTATCACTCAAGCAAGGACTGGGGCTCCTTGGCCTGTGGTTTGTTGGTCAGGTAACAGCTACCTTACATAATTGCATAATTATAGGACTATTATCATTTATATATGACCATTAAGGTTAAGTAAAGAAATATTCAAACAGATGATTTTATATGGCATATTGCATTTGTGTTCATCTCTCCAATACAGAAAATATGTTATGAGATATGTTCCCTCTGTGAGTTATCCTCGGTAAAGAAATGCATAATTAAGAATGCAGGTTTTGTTACTGCTGATGTATTTGTTTTTCCAGTTGCTGGCTTACGTGAGAACAATCTAGTACATTTGTAAAATACATGCCAAACTTAAGAAGTCCTGATCTAATGTCTGTTTGAAAAATCCCAGTAATACTTTCAAATGAAATGACGTCAGAAAAGTAAAGAAACAGATTGTTGCTTTGCTTAGTGTGGTCTCTGCTCTCTTCTCAGGCCCAGAGCTGGTTGCTAGGCTCTCAAGACTGCTCTTTTTCTTGCAGGCCCTGTGGCTGGCACCTGCGTATTATCTGGAATTTGAAGGGGACAATACATTTGTTCTCATCTGGCTGGCTGGACTGTTGTTTCTCGTCATTAATTCGTTTATACTCGTGCAGATTATCTCCCACTATAAACCAGAGATCACCCAGCAGAAAGTTAAATCGCACTGACTCGAAGACGTCCTGCAGGTTGAACAGGGTTATACTGATTTATTTGGAGGTCACACACTACTACATGTAGGGTGTTCATACAGATGTCTGGCTGATTTCTACTCTGTACTCTTACCATCTACCAGTTGAAGTGATTTCTCACTCTGATGTGCTGTGCAGTGGGGCTGCACTGCCCTTTAGGGTGAAAAGAGTTATTACAAGTTATTGTAATAATGAAATGCGTGCAGTGAGTGAAACTCTGAAGACTGAGGAGCAGCGCTCAGCCCCACTAGGTCAGCCTCCAAAACGTAAAATAGTTAATATAAAATTGAAAGAAAAAGCATTAAAAAACCCTAAAACAAAATAGCTGCAACCACTATTGGTCTGTCTTGGCTTTCAAAAAAAGTTTTTCAAGGGAATTGATGAGGTATGTTTATGCTTTGTTTTCCGTTTGGTGTGTGGTGTCTTCTCTATGGACACGTACAGTAGCTCATCCGCTTTGGCGCTACCGCCCCCTTCCGTTCGATTGAAGGATCATGCCGCCCGCTACTGCCATCTAGTGGTTGAAAGAGGAAGGGAAGAAGAGGGGTTGTGTCCTTGGCTCTGACGTCACCGGCGAATGGGCACGTCTCCAAGCCAGGCGTTCAGAGCAAGACACTGAAGCAAAACCTTGTCTTTCACCCCAGCTCAACGCGCCACAAGTCAGCTGAGTGGTTAGTCATTGAACTGAAGCAGATGAACTGATTTCCCCAGTTTCTGGTGCTGATGAGGTAAAGAAACGTAAACTCTACAGCAATGCAGCCACCCAGGACTGGAGTTGAGATGAGAAGACTTATTGCCCCCTGAGGGAAATTTATTGTGGACAAACAGCACTTCTGCAC